TCGGAGCTGCTGTCCACGTCCACATTCCAAGTCGAAAAACTCAAATTTTGCAATTTCTCAGAACTGCTCCTTCCAGTGGCGATCGCCTCTTCTTCATGATCCGCGACGGCCTACTCTTCCTGCGCACTTGCACTACCTTCACGACCAAATTGATTGCCGTGAAATACTCTCTTGGATGTTCTAGAACGTCGCTTCGCATTGCCCATCGTCTCCAGCAGCTCCTGACAGCAACTTTGACAAGGACTAGGTAAATGTCCCAAAATAATAATTTTAATTTCACAAAAACACATATTTTTGCCCAAGCTCAGCTGCAGCTAGCGCTGGTCGCGTACGCGAACGCGCGTAGGCGGTAGGCCTAGCCCAAATTTGCTCGGGGCGCTTCGAAATTTTGCCGGCAAATTTTGCCCGATCACTTTCCATATTTTGCTAGGCATTGCCTTTCGTTTCCGATATTTTGCTCCATTTTGCCCCTGCTTTGTGGCAAAAATGGCTTCGAATGAACCTTCTACTTTGGTAAAAGTGGATGGTGACTCTGTCGAGGAAAGCAAAACTTATAATGATGTCAGTATTACTGATTTTGTAGCATGTTTTCAAATTTATGTACCCCTGACAACCTGCACGAGCTATTTCAGCACGGCGTTGGCCCAATGAAACCAAAGAAATTTGAATAAAATTGCCAAAACACACCCGGATCCTCTGTAAATTCGATATTTTGCTCGGAATTTGCCAGCAATTTCTTTTCGTTGGAAAATTCGATATTTTGCTGGAAGAATTGCCGGCAAATTTGGGCTAGGCCTAGTAGGCGGCTACACCTCGTGACCATGCCATCACCAGTACGTACTAGTACATGCTGGAAGCATGGTGTTATCAGAATTTCCCCAACAATCGGGCTTAGAATCACAGGAAACAGCGAAATTGGTGGATTTCCGATTGCGAAAAGTCACTGATGCGTACTCCAAATTTTCAAATTTTCAAATTTAATTGCAATCTTCTAGCGCGCATATCTCCTGCTTCGTTGATCGTAATCCAAAAAAACTTTACACGTGTATTCTACGGATCAATACCTTTCGTTTGAGCTATCGCTCGACTTGCTCGGACAACTTTCAATTTTTTCGAGTTTTTCATGTGTACGCTACCTTATTAATTAAATTAAATTAATAGCACGGGGCGGAGGTACATTGACAAAATAAAGGGCCGTGCTTATATTAGAGATAATACGGTAGGTTATTGTTGTATGGACACTATGAGTACAACAGAATGGTAAGCAACTTGCTTTGAAGCAAAGAAAGTAATTATTCCACGGATCTCAGAAGGAAAGAATGTTCCAGAATGCTGCACTGGCAACAGGCAGCCTGCATGTGCGTGGCCCCTGCAGTCGGTCCAGCTGCCGGCCTTGCAGTGCTGAAAAGAATGTGCAGTACAGCATGTCACGACGTATCGCAGCCTGGACAAATAGGCGCTGGGAAGTCCTAGTTATGTGCTCACCTACACCACGATGCACCAATCTGCTGAGCTATTTTGGCAACAACTTTGTCCTCTTGAGACTCCCATGGGCTGAGCCAGTTGTTCAGGGCTGCACCAAGGTGAACGGCATTGACCGCTGATGGCAATGCAATCCATGACACACAGTCACTAGGGCATCGTTAACATGGCGCTGAGGCTGGATCGATAAAGTCTGCCTTTAGGCTGGGTTGACAACGAGGCCGCTGTCTTGAAGCTAGTCAGTCAGCCTGGTCACCGCCATTGACGAACCAGTCGCCACCGTCAGCAGTGGCGGTAGGTTGTGACAATTGTGGTGCAATATTGTCAGCGAATTCAGTACTCGGGATAAGATGAGTGACAAAGGGAACTTTGTGTTTGTATAATATTGAAGTGAACAGGGATGATCACAAACCCTGCGCGTACTCCACCGTGAGTTACAAGAAAATTCCGGACTGGACGACTAGCAAACGCCAACCTGCTACATCCAACCAGGCAGATACTATTACGATAGCTGCCAAACCAGGTCAATGTCGACCCACTGCATAATGTCAATGTCAAACAAATCCTGCAGGAGAAGACTGGGGTGTTGGCGTCCAGTGTACAGACACCAGTCACATTTCCTGTGTCTTTTGCAATATACAGGCTGAGACTCATCACTGTAGAGTCCACTACTGCATGAGTTTTATTTGTACAATACATGGCAGGCGTACACGGTGTGCCTCGCAGGACTGCGAGATGCTGCAGAAGACCAGGTTCAACCTTTCTGGACGGCCATTCACCGACGGTGGGCTACACGATGCTGGAGGAGCTAGATTCCAGTGTAAACCCAAGATTTCTTTGCTCCTGGACGCTTAGACGTGTTGTGATATCTGCCAGGTGCGCAGTAACTAGTATTTTCATCTCTATAGCGAGGACGACGCCGATCGGCAAACTCTCGCTCACAGCCATCACCAGCCTCTCAAAACCATCACTTGGCATCCCCCAGAGGTAAAGGAGAAAGCCAAAACAGCTCACAACAAACAAAAGCTAAGGACGATGGAAAGAGAGCATGTCAAAAAGAAGACGAACAGTATGAAGTTCGAATGGTTTTGAACACTCGTTCCACCAACTATACCACTTTCAATAAATCGTGACGCCATTTTGTTTTAACACGCATATCGCGGGTGGGAAGTGAGATAATATACAGTACATTGTACAGAAACAGAAAATAATATGGCACCCATTTTGATATTCCAGGGGATGGCCCACGCCTGGTAAAGAAAATAAATAGAGAAAAGAAAAGACGGATATTTCACAGGAAGTACATGTACAATGGGGACACAGTGCAAGTAGTTAGTTCTCACAACGCCAAGCCACACTGCGCAACAGCCAACACTGCTGACAGGTTCTGATCAACGGCAGAGGAAGAGGCTGGACGTCGATGACCACGAATGGCAGCGGCAGCTGCTCGGACGAGGGCAAAGCCCAACCTCACGCGAAGAAAGGCAATCACCAACGAGAAAGACTCTCCTGTCTTCTCCAATACCACGGACGCAACCCTGCGGTAGAGAGCCTTCGTTGCTTTGCCTTGCCCGCCAGTGCAACTGAGGACGATGGGGACAAATGACGCATGCTCGATGTGCAAAACTCGTGCTTCGTAGCAGCGACGCTTCTCCTTCTCGTGTCTGGCATAGACGGATACCAGGGAGGCGGGGTTTCGGTTTGAACGAGCATAAGGGTTAAACACCCGAACATCGAAGAATGTTCCCTCAAACCTACCTCCCCAGACTCCACTGGCAGCCACGTCCAACCGTACACCTCTTTCAGTGATGGCCGTACGGTGTGCAAAGCGCTCGCCCGTCACGGGCTGGAGATCGGGCTCTACCACAACATCATGGACGACGTCCCGGAGCATGTGGGCGGTGATGTCCCTCACCTCGTTGTGCATGACACAAGAATGCCAGGTCTCGTAGATCACAGTTCAGCAGTTGTTCCGAGTCACCTTGATCAAGCGCACCTGCACTTACATGGATCACAAGTAATAGTTGATCTACATGTAGTTCGGATCAAGTGCATCTTGATGTCCAGCTCAAGGGCACGCATGTCGTGTTGTAGGTTACAACCCTTCCAGCTGGGACTTTCCCTCAAAATGCAGCACAGAGACTAGGGTAGGCCCAGACAGATTCTGCTCCGCTCGCCTCGATATTTTGCCGCAAAGTGTTGCTGCGAAATCTTCGATATTTTGCCGAGCCTTGCACAAGAATCTCGATATTTTGCTCCATTTAGCTCCGGAAAAACATGTATTATATCAAATTCTCGTACAATCCTGTACAACGTTTCATAAAATCGCACGGTCGGTTTCCCAACACGGATTTCCACGCACGTGTCCCTGAGTTCTTCCAAAATCATGCGGATCCACGATGAATCCCAGTGATATTTCGGTGGACATGATCTCGTCCTGGGCAGTGTATCCTGCTGAACCAAGGAAATCCAAGTATCAGGCATCGATTTTACCCAACATCTCGATATTTTGCTCCAATTTTGCCGGCAACTTCCGCTCTTTGAATTCTTCGATATTTTGCCGAAAGAATTGCCGACAGGCTCTGTCTGGGCCTAGACTAGGGCCAGCACTGGCCCAGCAGGGTCAAATGACTCAATCACGTTGTTCATGACGTCAGAAATCTGCCATGTAGGCGCCCAACATACCCCGCGCCCCCGGCCAACCAGTGTAGGCCGCGCGCTGGTCAACTCCAAGCGACCTTGATGGCATGGACCACGGTCATGCGTTGCTGTTGCAGATCTACGTGGATCATCAGCATGTAAACTAGCCGTAGTTCCTGTTGAACCATGTTCGGGATGAGCGAGGTTAGTGTGAAAAAATGCATCCCTGTTCTTACTGCAGGAATGGTCGAGTGGAAAAATTCAAAATTGTTTATATCAAGAAAACCCAAAAAGGATGATGGGGAACATGTCCTCAGTGCTAGAAGAGGTGTTCTACTATCTGCCGGTGTATAGTTTGCTAATTGAGGACGTAGCTCGCTGTTTTATCAGAGCTTGTAATTTGGCTATTTTCAAGACGATCATTTGTGGCGTAAAGGGATGCTGGCGTGGCTAAGTGGTGCTGCCCCAAGAACTCTTCTAAGGTGAGGTAATGTTGGCTTGATGGTGTTTTGTTCGTAGCTTGTTCTTGTACGCTGTGCCGTGGCTCGTTTGTAGACCCATAAATCGTGCCAATATTGAGGGGTATGCCAATTTCATGGTTCCCTTCAAAAGATTTTGCGCGGGCTTTGGAATGTCGATCTACACCCCAAAGCAAACCTACCTGCAAAATTTGAGCGAAATCTGAGAGATCGACTTGCACATATGTTCTGGTTTCTCAGACATGATGCTCTCTTGAACATTCTGCCTGTGAACAGATGCATTTTCGGTGAAAACATTTCAGTCTTTTTCCTTCTTTTTTCTCGATTTTTTTAGTTCGTCACCTCAACAGTACAATGTATAACTTCAACTAGTTCTCCATGACCTGAAAATACACTTACATTGAACAGAATGCTAATGACGGCCTCTGCGTCACTGTCTCCACTGGCCAAAGCTTCTCTTAAAGACGAGTATTTGGAATTGAAAAATACGACGTGGAGCTGTAGAGAAGGAGTTAGAAAAAGCACATTGTACGTATGAAATGACTATTATTTTATTATTATTAGGAGCTTCTCTGCGTTGGCATCAATGCAATGTACATGTATATATATACACCGCATGTATAGCTGTTGCATAAGCCGAAGCGACAACAGCCAAACAGGATATAGATGGCGATATAAAACGCGTGACGAAAATAGAATACAATTACAACGAGCAAACGAACAGTTCGACCGAGTTGAATTTGTATTTGCATAAATCAATTAGTGGCGGCATTGCACTGGGTGCATTGTAAGGCGGATTGCCTGGATCCAACACAACATGGCGTGGTGAGATAATTGCTCACTGCTGCAAGACGTCTTTGTGCCCGACCAATCAATCACCGCTCACCCTTGAGGTCGGCGGTGTTCAACAAGGTCGTCGCCACACTGGCTACCCCTACCGCCCCGTGGCAGGACTGGCAAACCACAGCGTCGTGTTTCCTCGGCTTCACCGCTCTGCTTCGCTGGGACGATTTACAACGCCTCACGCCTCAGGAAGTCTCCATTCGCGGCACGCATATGCCCCTCCACCTGTGACAACGCAAGAATGACCAGTTGCGCCAGGGCGATATGGTCATGGTGAGTTGGCTGGAGCAGCAGGCTACTACACCATGTCCTGTGTCGGTCATAGAGGGTTTCTTGGAGAGAGCACCGCATGTTCCCGTCTCCGCAGCAACCCACCAGTCATGTCTGCGGGGCAAGATGACATACGCCCGGGCGCGCGAATTGATCCACACGGCTCTCGCCAACGTAGGTGAAGACCATACAGGGTATGGCACACACAGTCTCCGCTTGGGAGGAGCGACGGCAGCGGCCAATGCTGGCGTGCCAGAGCTTTTTCATCCACATGTAAGAACATGTATGTGGAGGATTCCCTCAAGGACATGCTGTCGGTGTCTCGCGCTATACTGCACCAAATGACTATCGGGTCAGCTATTCATTCCGTCGTGAGTGAACAAAGACCAATCTACTACTGTGATCTGTATCTGCTGTTGTGTGTGGGTGTGTCTGCGGTGTACGCAGAGGCCAGTTAGCTGGCAAAAAGTGTTATTTTTCGTTTGCTGAGCGTAGCGAATGAAACGAAAAATGTATTTTTTTGCCAGCATTTTCACCATAGTTACGGCGCCAGGATTGCGTCAGCTGGTTTTTTGTCAGTGTTCTCAATTTTTTCTCTTCATCGTGGCCTTTCTCTTTTCGTTGTAGTTTCCCACCCGCCCTCCCCTTTATTCTTACTTCTGGATAGGTCCTGCAGGCTACGTTTTTTTTTCATTTATCTGATGGGGATATTCTAACCGGTTTTCCTCAGAGCTGTGCCTCCCCCGGGGTCCTGGGTTTTTTCCGCCAGCTTCAGGCTGGTTAATTATCCGGCGGCCCCATTCACCACAGTGGTTCACTTTTTGCATCCTGTTTGTCTGGTACATACGTGTACATGTATAATATGCGTGAGGTGGCATGCCCTTCTTCTTGCTCATGTATACACTACGCTAAGCTCTTCCATCTTCCACAGTGAGTGAACAAAGACCATACTACTACTGTGATTTGTATCTTTCTGTTGTGTGTGGGTGTGTCTGCGGTGTACGCAGAGGCCAGCTAGCTGGCAAAAAAGTTTTATGAAAGATCCGTGGGAAAAATAACACAGACCTTTTATCAAACGTTTTCAATTTTTGTCCAAAAGTAAAAAAAGAACGATAGGGGGCTAGAAAAGGCTCTTCTCCAGAGATTCGCCAAAAACATTTTCAAATTTCATCTCAACATGCAGTCAAAAGGCAGTCATATTACCCCTAAAAAAAGTTGTACCGCCCAGCCACTTTTTAAAGTGTCATATCTTAAAAGGTCTGCAGTACTGTGTATATTCAACCCTCTTACCTCACCAGCTGTTCTTGAACCATCTACTGAATGCTCGGATGACATGGACGTAGAGTTTCCAAAATGGATGTGGAAATTATCGATACTGTATTGCTCCGAATCTAGTGGGCCACCGGTAATGCTCACTGATGTTGCGTCAAAATGGTCCGCTCTCACAGCTGCATCATTGTTGGCGTAGAAATAAAAACTTGCATTAGATGGGCTGCTCGTAACATTGAGTGCTGGGTAGGTCATATATGCTGCGCTGGCTTTTGGGATGTTGATTGGTGACTGGTGTGTTCCATTGCCGCACGTCTCAAAGCCAGCAATGTTGCCCCAGCCAGCAGGACCTGCAGCACAGAGGTTACAGTTGTCACAGCATTTCAAAGTTTAGGTCAGTGTGGTTGAACAACTTTAACCCTACAAAAAAACAGCCAGCGGTGTCATTTGATGCCGAGCGGGTTTAACTTTTGGAATTACTGAAATATGGTTCATCAGAATCAGCTCAAATCTCGTGACTATTCCTAATTTTGTTCCTGTTTCGTCTGCCATATACCTTTGATTTATAATCGATGAGGTACCACATTAGCGGCAAGCAGGTATGCCTGGAATGGCCAACCGGTGTCATTTGACACCTACACTAAAAAAAGCCATTATTGCAAGTAGATGGAGAGAATTTGAAGAGATTTCGAAGGCGTCATTCATATTGAGTTGCTTGTGTGCCGACCAGACAAAGGAAAGTTACATGGGCAGGAAAACTTCTGAATACAGGACGAAATAATTATACGATCAACATACAACCGTTGAGTGAGAATCACGAATTCGGAACGGGTGAACATTAGTACACAGATTACACAAAACACGTGGCGACTGTCCTTGATACTGTTCATTCCCTTTCATTTTCCTGCAAATTGTCCCAGAGGAGCCATCAGAGTTTGACGGCGAACTACATGCAATCTGATGACCATGAAAGCAACATTTCCCACAACATCTTCATCTGATGCATCTTCAAGTGTAGTGACCATTGGCAGGGGTGGATCTGTTCTGTCATGTTATGGTGTAACTTTGGGTCACAACAATGGCAACTGGGCACCTGCGAATTCATAATGTATTTCCGAGCTTCCAGAAACGGACAAGTATTGCGGTTAAATCCAGATGAGGGATTGTCAGAAGCAGGTGCGCGTGCAGGAGTGGTGGAGATCCAGAAATCAATTGTGCCGAGGAAGAGGAATCACAACTCTGCAACCGGGAGATGGTTCACCGCATTATTGCAAGGATGGTGCTGTGTAGGTTATCTTTTACTACTACTGGACGCGCTAATGAGGCTCTTGAAACAAACCTCTTCGTCTCTTCCACTTCAGCCTTTACAGGCAGGCAGCCGCTGGGATGCTTTCTCCAGCTTTATTCGCTGCGAACGTGGAGCATAGGCTCCAACAGTGCAAGGAGCGAGAAGAGCGCAGTGCCAGACTAAGAGGGTGCGCTCAGCACAGAGTTTGATGAAAAGCTCAAGGAGATGAACGAGCGCATCACCAGGGTGTATGAGGATAATGGTGAAGCCGCCCGTGTGAGGTCGCTGGGAGGTACAGCGGAAGCTCCCAGTCACAGCGGTGGACGTAGGCTTTTAATGAAAGTCCCTATATACGATGGAAGGCAGCCACTGGAGCGTTATCTCGACCTGTTCGAGGACATCTGTGTCAAGAATAAGTTCGACGAAAACGAATGGCTGCTGCGATTGCGTATCGCGCTGTCAGGTAGCGTTGTGAAAAGGAACTGTATTGGCTACAGTACCTATGAGGAAGCAAAGCGAGACTTGCTTGCCTCGCTCGGAAGGACGCCATACAAAGCACGGAAGACTTTGTTTACAGGCGAGCAGCGGCCAGTGAAGTCTTTGAAGCCAGTGGGAGGATCAGATCCAAGGACCACAACGTCGATGCAGTGCATGGCGATATTGGTCGGACACGCCGAGAAGCAGCTGGAGTCTCTGCTAAGGAAAGGAGAAAGGCGATGCTGCACAGCAAGGAAGGACTCAACGGCGAGACTGTGTGGAACACAGATTGTTGTGTGTTGTCTGGTCCAGAGTCTGCCCTGGGTCGAAGCAGTGGACCAGTGACCGTGTCATGTGTCACAGCTCAAATCGACGAGCTCGGAGCAATTGAGTTGGCTGAAGTCGTGATCACTGATATTCCACCATGGCCACCCCCGCAGCATAAGTTGACAAGTTTTGGATGGTAGTCAGAGCCCTGGATCGCCTTGACTTGTGAGTTGTTGCACGACGGTGAGAAGCCCTTTGGTGGGGAGAATGTTATGAAACCACAAGTTCTCAAGTGTGAAAGGCCTTCTCGCTGGTGACACTGTGTTCGTTTCAATGCAGTTGTATCTCGACTCCGCCTTACCGCTGATGTTTACGGCGCGGTATACGCTACATGCGCTATGTGCGATTTGCTGTGTGCTCTGTAGTTGTATTTGTATGTGTATGCCTTTCTGATATAGGAGAAGGACAAAATGTTTCGAGTTATGATAAACATTTTGTCCTTCTCCTTTTTCAACATAATTTAATTGGCGCACCATCCGAGTTGAATGTTCTGATCAACGCTGTCATTTTCACGCTATAACTAGCTGGTTATCTTAGGGCGCGTTTGGTTGGTACGACCTAGAGCGGGATTCACCAGAACAGCGCGTTTGGTTGGGACTGCACCTGTTTTGGGTCGGCCAGAACATGTTCTGCTTGCACCGGCCTCGAGGCCGGAGCAGACCGAGCAGATTCACTTCTCCACAGTGAAACCTAGCGGGAACATAGACTTTGGTCCCAAATGATCACGTGCATACGCTTTTGGGTTGGACCCGCCGTACCGGACACCATGGTGACCCATGCACACTTTGAAAAATGCACCAAGTTTGGCATATTTTTCACAAATATGTGCTCTGTTTTTGGAGTACCGTTTGGTTGGCATGAGGCTGCTCCCTGTGCACCAGCTGTTCGATCCTATTCTAGATCGTACCAACCAAACGCACCCTAAAAGTCTCTTCAAAACAGTTATTAGATTCGATCGGAGTGAAATATACCGTTAATATTCAATAGTTTTCCTCGTGCCGCGTGGTTGTTTGGTCCATTAGCCATGTCCCCTCCCCCCCCCCCCCCTCCTCCACCACCCTACACAGTGGGTCCATTGTTATTAGGCGTCTGCCTGCTTTGGTTTCTCCACTATAAACGAGAGAGCTTGGAAGCTCAGGGCCCTACGCTATGCTTTTTTACCTACCTCATCGTACATGTTATTAGAACTGATGGAAATGTTTTTTTTCGTTGATTCGCCACACCATTGTATTGCAAAAACTTTTCGATCAGTTTAACTATGAGTTAGGCAAAAGTATTTGTAGAATTTATTTCGGATTGTTATTTTCTCTGATTTCATCCACTTTTGGTTTGCTCCTTTTTTTCTTTTTGATCTTCTTATACTAGTATACTGTAAATCAACACATTTTGGCCGATCTCGAAACTTTGGCCGATCTCGAAACGAAACTTTTCGCCGTCATTAAACTTTGGCCAATTGGAGTTTTCAAAAAGAAATCGATCGGTATTTTTTGCTCTAACATGCATCGCACAGTTTCCATGTGCGCAACTGCAGTAGCATGACGCGAATCAGCACGATTAAGCCTCCAGCTATGCTCATTTCTTGCATTTGTGTCGTCCGACGTTTCCTGGGACCGGCGCTGATTCTGCCAACCACGGGCGATCTGGAGTTGACGAGATGTCTGTCCTGACGTTATCTGTGACCGGCGCTGACTCTGCCGATCACGGGCGTTCTGGAGTCGACGGGATCTCTCTTCCGACGTTTCCTGTGACCGGCACTGAATCGCCCTTTCATGCTTATTTTGGAGACGTCGGGATTTCTCTTCCAAAGTATGTTTTTGCTGACGCATCCTATCACCTATTCGGCGTCTATTCTAATTTAATTTCCTCCTCGTCTCCCTATTTCTTTCCAAATCTCCCTCTATATCAGGGAGTCGTATACATAATACGACGAATATTGGTACGGTACGGGACAGATACGGGAGCCAGCAAATATTGTGGACAGCTGTTATGTACAATCCTGTAGAGCCTTTGTAGTCACAGATACGGGACAGATACGGGAAAGATACGGGATAGCTCCAGGCGTGACACAAACACACAAACAAACAAACAAACACCAAACGAGAGAGCTTGGAAGCTCAGGGCCCTACGCTATGCTTTTATGCTTTTTTGCCTAGCTCATCGTACATGTTATAAGAACTGATGGAATTGTCTTTTTCCGTTCATTGGCCACATCACTGTATTGCAAAAACGTTTCAATCGGTTTGAATATTATGAGTTAGGCAAAAGTAGTTGCAGAATTTATTGCGGATTGTTGTTTCTCTAATAATCATCTACTTTTGTTTTGCTCCTTCTTTAATTTTTATCTCCTTATATTGTAAATCAACAAATTTTGGCCGATGAGAAATAGAAACCTCTCGATTAGAGAGGTTAAGATGCACGTTATTTCCGACGTGACGCGCAGTTTCACGTCAAATTTGAAATCGATCGGTATTTTTGCTCTCACATGCATCCATTGCTCAATCATGCATCATTTGCCTATATGACAAACGTTGGCCTGCGATTTACTTTGTCCGGTTGGTACCAAGCGGCGAAATCAGCGAAATTAAATCGCCAGCGAACATTAGTTGATTTTAATACAGGAATCGGATTTTCTGGCCTTTTTGTAGTAATACATCTACATTGACCTGTTGAGCCAATGACGACGCCGAATGCATGGTTGCCTGAGGAGCACATTACATAACTTTACAGTCTCCTAAAATACGTATCCTGTCCGACGGCAAAAGAGGCTGCAGATTTAGTTTTTCTGCGCGTCGACGGGATGTCTGCGACGCGAAAGTTCAGCTCGCGTTATTTGGCTCGCACGTCGAAAAAATCAACGCGAGTGACCTGCTGCTCACGTCGAAATTTGGACATTACATAACTTTACAGTCTCCTATATAAATACGTATCCTGTTCGACGGCAAAAGAGGCTGCAGATTTTGTTTTTCTGCGCGTCGACGGGATGTCTGTCCTGACGTTTACTGGGACCGGCGCTGACTCTGCCGATCACGGCGTTCTGGACTCGACGGGATGTCTGTCCTGACGTTTCCTGGGACCGGCTTAGACTCTGCCGATCACGGGCGTTCTGGACTCAACGGGATGTCTGTCCTGACGTTGCCTGGTACCGCCGGACTCTACCGACCACGGGCGTTCTGGAGTCGACAGGATCTCTCTTCCGACGTTTCCTGTGACCGGCACTGAATCGCTCGTTCACGCTTATTTTGGAGACGACGGGATCTC